TCTTCCTGACCCAGGAACCGAACCAGGGCTTCCTGCATTGCAGACAGATTCTTTGCAACTGAGAAATCAGTGAAGCCCTCAATATGCTTAGGAAACACTAGCTGATCAACCTACTAAAGTCCCTGGGCTTTATGAATTCATGGTAAAACAAAAGAGTTGAGCATATAAACAGCTAATTTACACTACAGGGTAATACTTGTCCCCTACAGAGACAAAAACCGAGCCATGGGGCCACAAAGGAAGTCTGCTGAAGCAGAGGAGGGCTTGACTGCAGATGTGACACTTAAACAGGAGTTGAAAGATAAGTTGAACTCTGTCAGAGGAGGAAAAGTGATAGCAGAGAGAGTTTCCTGCAGAGAAAACAGCATGTACGATAACAACTAATAGCAAACACTTATCAAGGGCTTAGTATGTGTCAGGTTCTATTCTACAGAAGTTAGCTCACTTATTCCTCATAACCTTAAGAAGTAAGCACTATTTCTGCTCCCATTTCACAGATGAGGAAACTGAGGCTTAGAGATTTCACTGCTGGAATAGGTTGGTCTGACATCAGAGACCAGGCTTTCAACCCCTATACTATACTACAAAGGCACAGAGCCATGAAAGGAGGTATATCTGAAGATCTGGAATTCATCTAGATAAGTATCTAGATCATGGGCAAGGGAGTAGTAGGTAGTGAGGCCAGATATGCGGGCAGGGGCCAGATTCGGAAGGATCCTGAATGCCAAGCTAAATAGCTGGGCTTATCCTGCAGGGGCTGGGGAGCCAAGACAAGCATTTAAGCCTACAAATAGCTTGATGAGCACTGTGCTTCAGCACAGTAATCTGAGAGTGATGTGGAAGATGGGAGAGTTTATGAGGAGCCCGAAGGAAAGGAGGCTATTTCATAACACAGGCCAAATATGAGGTTCTGGACAAGACAGAGGTGACAGGGATGGAGAATAATGTGCAGAGTTGAGAGATTTCCCTGAGATAGAATTGATGCAGCTTGGTGAAGGATTAGGTCTGGAGCAGAGGGGGAAGAGTAAATGAGAAGACACCAAGCCCATATATAACTGGATATCAACACTCATCAAATTTCCCATCAATCAAGATCAAGGTAGGGACTTCCCTGGTGGTACAGTGGTTAAGACTCTGAGCTTCCATTCCACTGCAGGGGGTATGGGTTCGACCCCTGATCAGGGAATTAAGATCCTGCACGCCTCACAGCAGGGCCCTCCAAAAAAAGATCAGTGTCATACAAGGACAGGTGACAGGTAGAGAAGATAGCAGTAGCTTAGTCATGCACCTATTGTGCTATTGTCTAACTGCTTCAAGTTCCTAAGTCTCAGCAACCTGGCAAAACCATAATCTTTTCCAAGGCAGAAAGAAGTGTCCTGTGTCTACATGTCCACTCAGTGTACATTTCAGCACAGAATCCCAAAAAAGACCCTTAATACAACTCACTAAATATATGTTAAACATCAAAGGTATACATGATACTGTTCTCAAGACGTAACTGCTGGCCAAAGATAGAAATCATTAAAGAAAATATGATAATATTTTCTAATAACCAAATAAATACTAAGTAAATATCTTTCTTGTCTACCAAATTTCAAAGACTTTTAAAACACCCTATGGAAAGAGAGTGGCCCTTGATTTGCTTGTTCACAATGGTCTAACTCCCCAGGAGAGCTGCCTAACCAGGAGCATGGCAAGAAATGAACCTACTAAGACTTGAGACTGTTTTTTACTGCAGTAAACTAGCCTATTCTAACTAATGTGAAGATATTCCCATTTAACCTGTAGAATAATCCATGGAGGAATGCATGATCATCTCCATTTCAGAAACTGAGGCAATGAAATCAAGAAACTTATTAGTGGTTGCACAAATAGTAAGTGGTGGAGCCATAAACAAAACCCATATATTTCTTCAAAGTCCATGCAGTGTGGAGTAAGTATATATTCCACAATTAAATGATTATTGAGGTAATCATTATTCCATTATGAGAACCAGCTTTACACTTGGGCAGAATGGGCCCTTACTGAGCATAACAGCTTGAAGGAATAATCTGTATGGCCCCCAAAGACCACCATTTGCTGCGACGGTATAGGCTCCTCCTCTTAGCTAGTCAAGGATTCCTATTTAGGGTCACTATTTAGGCAACAGGTTAATCAACCTCTTTGTATCTCAGTTTTCTCATATGTAAAAATGGAAAATAAAATCTACCTCTAAACTCTGTCGAGAAAACTATATTTTGCCCACGGAATAAAGTTGACCCTGCCTCAAAAGTTATCCTTCTAAAACACAAGTTTCATCACACTACATCATATTCAATCTTCAAATTACAGTTCAAATCATATATGAGTGAGAAGTCCATTCTGATTGTCCAGTTAGAGGGTTCATTGCTTTCTCTCCCCATGCTTCCGTTATGCCTTCCACAGACCTATTACTCTTCACATTGTAACATAAACATTCATTTACTTTTCTATCCCCCTTATTGTACTGGAAGCCGGTTGAGAATGGCGCCAATAGCTTATACATTTTGCGATACCAACAGCAAGCCCAGGGCCAGGATATGGCAGAAAATATTTCATCAAAAGCAACAAAAACAGTATGTCATCTTACCCTCACAAAACTCTGTCAGGCATTCTACAACTTGGGCAAATAGAGGTTCCAAGTTGCAGTGACTGTCTAATATATGCAGGAGATCAAGCTTGCATGGAATCCAGGTGTATGGACTGTCCACTGCACCACACATGGTCCTTCAAAGACAAGGAGAGAAGGCCCACCACAGGCCATCAAGACCATCGTTGCACAAGGTACTTTGTTTCTCAAAGGTGGTAAGGACTCGGAATAGTTTTAGGACAACTTAGAAAGTCATCACATGGGAAAGTATAGGGAACACAGTTAAAATATAAAGAAGGCTGGAAGATCTGAATCTAAGCCCAGGCTCACCCTGCCCTTAACCCTGTTCCCTTGGATAAATCTCTGAAACTCAGGAGCTTCAGCTTCCTCATCTGTAAGATGAGGTTTTAAACAATGATACTCACCTTGTAGGGCTTGCCATAAGAATAACAGTTATATGAAATGAGCTGAGGATATAGTAAAGGTTAATTAAATTGTAGTTACTATTATTTATGAAGGAAACTAGCACATATTGAATGCCTGTTCCATGAAATATTTTTCATATATTATTTCATCCCCACAGCAACCCTGTGGAATATTACAACCTTGGGGTTGCTGTTACTTTAATCTTATATTGTGGAAATTGAGACTCAGAGATGTTTTAAGTGACTTGTCCAAGGTCACACAGGTAGCATCTGGCAGAGCCTGAGTTCAGACCAAGGTCTTCCTGAGTCCAAAGCCTTTGCTCTTTGCAGTTTACCTATCTGCACCCCAGCTTGGTTTCAGTGGAGAAAAAATAAGGAATAATCAGATATGTCCCAAATGTCTGAGGTCAGTGTGAGGGGCTGGAAAGGCAAAGTTGGATCAGATTCATCTGTAGCTTGAGATGTCTTAAAAATGTTTGGAACATGTGCAAGATGAGATAGGGGAAAAATCAAAAGGGAAGAAGACAGCCAACAATAAATGTCACATTCAACTTCCCTTTAGGCTAACAACCCAATAAGTAGTAGAGATGACGCATATTCATATTTCGGTCCTTGTGCTAGAAGTCTCCAAAGTAAAAATCCCACATTGTAGTACAAATGTAAATAATAAAAGTGTATTATTTGATCTTGCTACCATTACGTCCCAGATAATGTTCCAAAATCAAACAAAGGAAGTTCAGAGAAGTCACAGGAAATACCTCATCTCCTTAACTATAAGAAATAGAAACAAACTCTACTAGGTTAGTCTCTTATTTGAATCATTAACACAAGGCATGTTGGAAGAGGATTCAGGTAACTAATATAGCAGTAGATGGCTTCAAATCACCCACAGAAAAACAATTGCTCTTACACACTTACACACACACACAAATTGGTTTCTGGTGTTTTTCCTCTGTCACACACAGCTTCCCCAAACTTGGAACGAGTAGGCCTTTACACTCTCCAGTCAAGGCCCAGGAAACTTTCATGCGGTGAATGTTTTTGACTCATACAGTCAGGAGTCAGATTAGGCACCAGTAGAAACAATGGTGCAGAAAAATGAAAAAACAAACAGATTGAAAAAATTTGAAAAAATAAACAAAATTCCCTGTGGAATAAAAAGTTCTCAGGTGAGGCACTCACACCAAGTCCTCCTACTTGATGCTACAAGGCTGTGAACCTAGAAAGATGTTCACTCCAGGTTAAGAACACACGTGGAGAAAGAAAACTCAACAAAGAAGGGGCGCCTGAGCAGACTCTGAGAGGGAGTGAAAACACTTTGTCTGTTTGTGAGCAAAAGAAAGGTTCGACTGTTTAAATTTTTTAGCCAAAGTTAGGCTTGAAATTCTCTACTAATAAATACATCCTCTTGTGAACTTTTCCGAAGTGGAACTTCGGGCACACAGAGTTAGCTGATCTCACAGAAAACTCATTCCTAAGAGACTACCTATAAACTCAGAAGTTTCTGTCTTCCTATGATCAAATGTGAGGCAGAACTCCCTCTGCTCACTCTCATCCCATTCAAAAGCGCTCTATTCCTCAGCACCAATAAGCCGTGGCCAGCCTTTGCTCTACTGTGCGTGGCTTCAGAAAGGCCTCAGGCATCGGGGCCGCGGGATTCGCTGGAGCACCCCTCCCCTCCCTGCCATCCCCATTATTCGGCACACAGCCCTGCTCTCCCCTGGAGCCAACAGTCTGCAGTTCCTTCAATGCAGGCGCGAGCAGGCAGGAATGGTGGAAGGGAAGCCGTGCCAGCTACATGTTTCTGAATCTCCCTCCATATGCATTTGCCAAAGGAACAAAAAGAAAATCAACGACAGGGAAAGACAACTGAGATGAGGATGCGGTGGGACCGCGGTTGACTCCGCGCCTCTGAGCAGCAAGAGGCTGGCCAACCACGCGTCCGAGCCATAGATGCGATTCGTTACCTTCAGGATGCAGGCCATGGCGCTCCGCCGGCCCTCCTGCCACCGAGCAGCGGGCGCGCCTGGGTCAGGGGCAGTCCCGGCGACAGGCTGGAGGCTGGTACCGCTGCAGGACCGCTCCAGCCCACATTCCCGCAGATCCAAATAAGGGGACCGCGGTGAGAGCTGCGCGGGCACAGGCCCCGCCCCTCGGGTCGTGGGCCCGCCCCCGGCCCCGTCCACTGGCTCGCGGCCTGCGAGGCCCCGCCCCCAGGTCACGTGCCGTCCCTGGCGCCTGCGGCTGCCTCTCGTTGCTTGCTACTTTTTCTTTTCTGTTTTTTTTCTGTAAACTTCTGTCTGTTCATCGTATATAATGTCGCTCAGCAGCAGGCTGGGAGCTCAGATGGGTCCCGCTGGGGAGAGAAAGTGGCCTTTTCTTCTCCTCGATTCGGTCTTCGCTAACAGATCAGAGAACTCATAGCAGACACTTCACACTTTTAAAGAAGTTTAGTGGGTTTGGAATCATCTCTCTCCAGGCTTTGGGTACATCAAAGGATTCTTCAAAAGTAGCAAAATTCTCCCTAAGCTGGTTAAGGAAAGAGCCTTCATCCTACTTTAAAACCCTGTGATGGCCTTATCTAAAATTAATTTGCCATTAAAAGGGAGCACAAATGTCAATCAGGGAAAGATGCAACCAACTGGAGTCTATGTAGGATATATTTCGTTTCTAAGTACACAAGGTCTTCCTTCGTGGCTCAGGCGGTAAAGAATCCGCCTGCAATGCGGGAGACCTGGGTTCGATGATATTTCATTGCCTGGAGAATCTCATGGACAGAGGAGCCTGGCGGGCTGCAGTCCACGCGGGGTCGCAAAGACTCGGACAGGACTGAGCGACTGAACTGAACTGATAATGCATTGCTCTTTCCTGCTTTAAGCTTACGTGTTTAGGCAAGAATACTGGAATGGATTGTCTGCGGTTCTGCAGGGAATCTTCCCAACCCAGAGATTAAAACCATGTCTCTTACATCTCCTGCAATGGTAGGCAGGTTCTTTACCACCAGCATCACCTGGGAATCCCATGAAAAATGTGTGTATACATAAATACACTGTAAAGAATATATGTATATATTAAAATATAGTATATTCTCATATATATACATTAACTATATATATATAGATAGTGTGTGTGTGTGTGTGTGCGCGCGCGCATGCACAGGATTTTGCCCTTTCCTGCAACAAGTTTAGAATTTGACAATTTTGTTGCAATTTCAGTAACAAGGTTAGATCTAAACTTTCCTATTAGCATTGGAAATCCAGAGAGGCCATTTTTCACCATCCAACCTGAATACTCTGATGCTAAAACACAGTGAGGTATAGAGCTCCACCTAAGAAGCAGGTGATCTGGGAGAAGACATGTCCTGGGCCCTCTCCACCTCTCTTCAGCAAGCCCCCTTTCCTTGTTGACTGAAAAGCAACAAGGAAGCCCACTTCCCCATCCAGAACTGACTAAGAGAAACAGTTATTTCTACAAGGAAAGTAACATCACACACAGAGCAGAAAAAGGGAGAGACCAACCTGTGTATATACACAGATCTCCATCACTTGGTCTACCAGAGAAATATTAAACCTAGGCTCAAAATATTTACCCAAAAGAAGTTTCACTTGCTGGAAGCCCAGTCTAGTTTCCCTACAAGGCATCAGGAAAATCACTGTGGGCTGCCAGTGGTGACTGTGACATCTGAGATTGGCTCACAAACCAAACAGCAGACACCCCGGCTTTCAAGGCGCTTGATGTTTTCTTGATGAGAACATGCAAAATCCTGGGAGAGCAGGAGAACCTCGGGAAAGGGTTGCAGAAGCTGAGACTGTGGAGGAACTGGCCTGCTCCCAAGGGAAACTCCTCTTTTTAGTCTCCCTGAGGGAGACTCTCCCACTGCTTCCTCCAACCCCTCCATCTGTTTCAGAGATCTGCTGTATTTTCAAGGAAGAACTCCTTGATCCTGACTGCATGTTTTAAACCACCACTTTCTCTCATGGTCTGCAGTGGGTCAGGAACACTCAGTAATTCATCTGTTTATGAATTCAACAAACTTTTATTGAGCTGCTACTAGAAGAATAAAATTTTTTTTTGAGCTAACATTAACTGGAGGAGAAAACTTTTATTGAAGTACTACAGGACCTGTCAGAGATGAGAGAATGATTTCTGTGGTCTCTAACATTATCTCACGTTCTGTCAAGTGGGAAAGATAAGACGTATATGATAATACAATGTGATAAGGTCCTTAACCAGGGTTCCCTAAAGGCTCAGATGGTAAAGAATCTGCCTGCAATGCAGGAGACCCAGGTTCTATCCCTGGGTTGGGAAGATCCCCTGGAGAAGGGAATGGCAACTCACTCCAGTATTCTTGCCTGGAGAATCCTATAGACAGAAGAGCCCAGTGGCTATAGTCCAAGAGTCACAAAGAGTTGGACATGGCTGAGTGACTAACACAAGGTCCTTATCCAAAGTGGAAGCAAAGCTATAAGGAAAGAGCGACTGAATCTGACAGGGTGGCAGGTGGGAAGGGCAAGAGCAGACAGAGCTCTCTTTCTCCATCCAGAAAGTTTGCCATTCTGGGAGACAACACAGTGGACTCCAGCGAGCAACCCCCTTGAGCCCTTCCTTGCTGGATGACCTTGATCAAGTTTCTTAACCTCTCTTGAGTCCTTCGTTTATTTAATAATATTTAATTCCTTGTGAAAAATAAGGTAATGCTTGTAAATCCACTCACCTCAGTCTCTGGCACTATGAACATTCTCAAAATGGTAGCTCTTTTTCTAAAGCAAAAAAAAAAAAAAAGTTGACTAAAGAGAGTATGAATAGGATGATTTCCATTCTTCTTGGGTGTCTCAGAAAAATAAACAAACACCGAGCAGGCAAACAACTAGCATCCTGTGGCTTGGATCCATCGCCAAGAGGGTTTCACTAGCTCCCACAGTCTTGTGTATGGATCTCTCAAACTCCCACCCACCCATTGTCCACACTTCCCAAAATGTTATTCTTTTGTTAGCATTCCTAAATTAAAACTAAATAGGGGCAGGAATTGTCATATTTTATAAAAACCTAAAAACAAACTCAAACAATTCTAAAGTAAGTCTGGACCAAAAGTTTTACAAAACAATATTAACAGTCACTCTCTTTGAGCTGGACAGAAGTTGGGTGAGAAAAAAAGCAGTTGGATGGTAATAAAATCATATTCTAATCCTATTAGGGAATGAAGGCATAGCCAGATATGCAGGTGGGTACTGGTTGTCTGTTTTAAAACTGGCCAAACTATAGGAATAGCTTAGTTTAGTCCATAGATACAGCATAATTTTCCAAGTCTCAAGTTACATCACTTAAAGCCAAAAGCCTGTTTCCAAAAATAATAATGACCAACCATAGGCACCCTGCAATTATATACAATATCCCATTTGATCCTCATGACATTCATATGAATGTTGTCATTCTCAGCTGGTAAGCAGGGCAACAGATATTTGAACCAAGATAGTTGGACTTCTGTGTCTGCCCTCATAACTGCTACACTCGGCTCCCAGGTAGATTAGGAGCCCAATCTCTATCATTTGACACCATTCAAATTTAATCTAATTGTCTTAGATTTGATAGTCAGAAAACCAAGGGTAAGATTATATCCTCTCTAGAATACATACTGGGACCTATCCAGGTGGCACTAATGGTAAAGAACCTGCCTACCAATGCAGCTAGATGTAAGAGATAGGGGTCCGATCCCTGGGTTGGGAAGATTCCCTGGAGGAGGGCATGGCGACCCACTCTAGTATTCTTGCCTGGAGAATCCCATGGGCAGAGGGGCCTGGTGGGCGATGGTCCATGGAGTTGTAAAGAGTTATACATGACTGAAGCAACTTAGCACGCACGTGTGCCACGTGCAGGATACAGACTAGGATACAAAACCTAGAGCAAATATGTAAGTATGTGGGAAGCAGATACGTTCTATCTTTCTAAGTGTACAGGATAGGTATACTCACTTGTATCTATCAACCCCTAGCTCCTGGGTCCTACTTTAACAAAGACATTGCATATCCCATCCAGGTTTCCCATAAAACCAGCTATTGCCACCCTCTGTTCATGAGAATTTCATCTGACCAAAGACTCACTGCTGTATCTCTCATTGTTGTATGATGTGGGTGGGGCCTGCTGTATGGTAGCCTGCCAGCCCTTGCTTTCCTCCATGGTAAGATCCTAGGGAACTGGCCCTATTGTTACATCAGCCTCCTGTGGGATCTTCTGGGCTGTGATGGTCCATCTTCCTTTTCCTCACCAGCCTTTCACCTTAATTTTAATATGCCTTAAGGCTGAGATTTTATAAGTTATGACAAGTCATGGGCTAAAATGTCCTATTTAAATTCAGTTTTGCCTTCATTGTAAACAGTCCCATTACCATGTAATTCTCTGAGTTATAATGTTTCCTGATAGAAATAGAATTAAAACTCAGATTCCCATAACTTTTCCAATTTCATCTTGCACACATATTAATTTAATATATTTGTATTCAACACAGAGTCATTTATTAAGGTTTTAATTGGATCTCGGTTTTTCCCATCTAAAATTTTTAAATGAATTCCAGACATCATAAAACTCTTCTTGTCATCCACTACATAAATTATGCTTCTATAGGAGACTGCAGCTAGAAGATCCATTATACAATGTTGTGGGGAAGTCATATTTTTACATTCGCGGCCAAGATAGGAAATAATTTTTTTTTCTAGAATGCATTGCACTGTTACAATTTTGACCTAGGAACTTTTTCATACCCTAAAGCACATCTATTTGTCCGTGTCCATGTGTGTGTCTGCATCTGTATCTATATCCAAGTATCCTGTGGTTGTGCTCTTCCAGGTGAGTATTTATGAGACTATATTGGCCTGTGAGTTAAGCTTTATTTCCCTCCATTTAGGGTAGAAGATCATTCCAAAATTTCATCCATTTTACATTCCCAACACTTGAACTTACTGCTTTTTCAAAGCTTTACACAGTTCTAATCCAGATTTCATCATTATCCCTGACTATAGACATACTTATCTGGGATT